CGACTAGGCTCTTCCTCAGCTACTGTTAATATTTGTTGCAGGGTCATTTACTTCGCAAATAGATTTCATGTTTCTTTGTCATTTGCTTTCTATCCTGTCGAAACTGTAAAGGTGGGAGGTCTTATTAGAATGATGAGATTTCTTCAGAACTTTAGATTGTTGATAACTGGTTCCGGATCTTGGAATTTTATCTTAAAGATGACTTTGCTATCTGTTTTGCAACGACTGAAAGGTTCTTTAGCTCTAGGGACATTGAGGGTTTTGCTTTGTTTTCAATGCTAAGAATGCTTTATAGAGATATTATAATTAACTTTGGGACCAGCAGGTGGTGGGAATGTTCAAGTGGCTGGATCCCATAGGGCTGACTGCGGGTTTCAGTACTGGACCTGTGGCTTGAAAAACAGTGTTGCAGGGACCGGCAGGTGGCCTGGTGGTTAAGGACCCTCGACTCCCACAAGTACCACTAAGAGTTGAATCCTAGACCTGGTGGCTTGCTTTCTCACTTTATTATTTTTAAAATTTTATTCATGGTCATTATTTTATTTATTTATTTATTTGGAAGTTAACCAGATAGAGACAGGAGGAAAGTGAGAAAGCAAGCTGCCAGGTCTGTGACTCCAACCGCAGTCAGCCATGTGGGAGTCAAGCCACCTAAATCACCATGCCACCTGCTGCCCAATTGCTTTCTCACTTTCTTATTCTGTCCCTCTTTTGTCAAATTAAGCGGATAAAGAAAGTTGAATAAAATCATTTAAAAGAAACACTCTGCTGCATGTGTGCGTGCATGCGCCCGAAAGAGTGGAGGAGAAGGGATTGTGGCATGGCTATCCCCCATGGGAGTCATTTTTCACTCTCGCCCCCTCTCTCTCTCTCTCTCTCTGTCTCTGTCTCATGAGCACATGGCAAGGGCGGCTTCCGGCCGGCTTTTCCCCCTCTCTGCCGCTGGCGCCCTCACATCCTGTTTTCGTTGGCCTCGCTGGAATGGCCGTCAGCGCTGTATCTTCTGCCGCCTAAGAGCTGGTCCTCTCCCGGCGTATCGAGCGCAGCGCGGCCACCTCCTTTGTCCGGTTGGTCTGCACGTCAGCCCCAGGGGCGTCGACTTTCCTGCTGCTGGCAGCATGGGCCGGGAGTCACGGTAAGGCGGAGCGAGCGGGCAGGCGCTAGAGCGACAGCTTGGGGTCGTGAGAAGAGGCGGGAGTTGATGTGGCCGCGGGGCCAGGCCTGGCGCTGCCTCACGTGCTGCCAGCGCTGCGCCACGGTCCCTGGAGGGGCTGGGGGACTTCGGTTGAGGGAATGGCTGTGTTTGGGCGGACTGCAGACTCAGGCTACCCCTGCGCTACTCTCGGCCGCTTGGAGCCGGATCGGAAACAGCCCTCCGGGACGTCAGGGATTAGGTACCACATCCCGCCACTTCCCCGGGAGCCTGCCCTGAGTACCCGATTCAGCCAGTCGTGACCACGGTTGCATTCCTGTTGCTTCCTCAGCAGCATTTCCTCGGCGCGCATCACTGTAGTTCGCTCCCTTGTGCACGTGCGGTCTGAGCCCAAATCAGTTGAAAGGAGCGTGTGACGTTCTTACCGCACGAGTAACA